GGGACAGCCGGGCCCTACCTGCGGGTGCTGCTCGCAGGCGCAAGGGCGAGGCGTGGAGCTTCGTCGCCTCCATAGCTGGGCGCCTGGCTGGGCTGAGCTGCCACACTCAGCGGGTCACTCCTCAGAGGCCCCATGCTGAAATAAAAGTGTCCCAACTCTGTCCCACCTGCCCCTCGCTGGCTTCAAAGGTCAGTGAACACAGAGCTGACCCGAGGAGGAAACAAGATGAAAGTAAGCTCACCTAGACAGATTTCCCTCCCACTGCCCCAGTCCAGGCTCCTGCCATTACCGCTGGTAATAAGTAGACTTCATTTCCCATTTTTCAGTCATGATTCACTACTGAGATAGGACTAAAGACTGCAGCTGTGCTTTAAGGTACTAAGGGCTGTGTGAAGGGACCCAACACCAGAGCCTGGAGACCGACCACTTTCTGCAGTGGTGGGAGAATACCAAAAGGTCCCCATATCCAAAGGCAAGTTTCACCCAAACACAACACTAATAACTAGAATCAGTTGACTCTGAGCAGGGATGGCTCTGGTCCATATGATGAGAGGAACCAGCAAAAGACCAGAAAACAGATCAAATCCTGCCATGTGCTCGCAGAGGGAAGGCTTTCCTCCAAACAATCACCTTTCAGGGGCTCCAAACAGAACAAGTTTTGCACAGTCATTTCCACATCCCTGGAAAGTGCTGCTCTTGGTGCCTTTAAGGCTTGGTCCCAGACGTGTTCCACACAGGAATCTCCCACTCTGCACCTTGGCTTCCAGCTGCCCGCATGGTGCCTGTGCCTGCTCCACCCTGTGCTCCGTGGCTGCCAGGTAAGGCCTGGTCTCCGCTCCCTTCACCAGGGAAAGGAGATGACCAGACCTTTTTGGCTGTGTTTAAACGTATGTACATTTCTAGAAAGCCTGCCCCCACAAGCCATGGTGACTTGCCATGGTCAGGAGCAATGGCTGCATGCCAGAGTTGAAGGAGGACTAGATGTCCCTCCTGTACAGGGGACAGAGGTTTTACTAGCCCACTCAGGGGCCAATGCAACCAGTACAGTAGAGAGGCGTGATGGGAGCATGGGTCTTCCTGACAGCTCGCTAGATCTGGGATAGGCAGGGAAGGTCAGGACATGCCTTAACATCCACCCCCCACCCCTTTGCCTGTTTGTTCTGCAGTGAGGGCATTTCCTCACCCCGCTCAACAGTCACAAGGTAGGAAAAGGGGAAGCCAGTAGAAAGAGCCCATGTGGCACCACAGCAGATGTGCAAGAGACAGAACCTAGAACCACCTTTGCTCTCCAGGTAAACTGAAGTCCACCTCAGTGCCATACAGATACCTTCTCTCCACACCGCTGCACCCAGGCTCCAAGAAGCATTTTGGGCTTGCACATTAATCAAAACAGGCTGATCTCAGCTCATTTCTACCTCTGTCTAAACTACCTCAACTCAGCAAGCGCCCAAGAGCACCCCATGCCCCCGGCCCCACGCTGCGCCCATCTTGCCAGCAAGCGCAGCTGTGGCTTGGTGATATGGATGTGCCTCCCAGCAGCACCAGTGATGAGCACATGCAGCAGAGGACCTGGGCAGGCAGGCTGCACCCCTCCTAATTGACTGAAGGAAGAGGAACACTTGAACTTGCTCCAAAAGGAAGCACAAGCTCCAGCTTCCCCACATTTATTTTCTTGCAGAGCTTGCCCAAACCTGCGAGTAGGCATCAGCTTGCAGACAGGCAGTTTAGAGGAAGCAGAGTTAGGCCAGCACAAGTCAGCTGGAGGTGTTGACCCTTCTGGCAGTTTGGATGCAGACCCTGGGCTCAGCTTAAACATGTCTTTCTTCCCTTCTCCTCTATCTAGAAGAACTGGGCCTTCCCAGCCATTATTTTCTTTAGCATGACTCACTCCAACTACAAGTCTGTTGTACCCTTCAACACTGTCTATCCAGGCCCTGCAAAACACACCAGGGAGAACACCATCAGAGCACCTACACCCCTTCCATACAGGCAGTTCCTGGGGAGAAATAGACATACTATCAAATATCCCATTTTTGGTTTTAACCACACAAAGAATTTACCAAAACATTCTTTATTTTTCTAGAGTGTCATACGTTGTAATAGTCCAGTTTAGCTTAGGGCTAAGCTTAAGTCCAATACAAAGAGCAAGAATCTCTCAAGAACAACCGTCTGCCCCTCAGGTGATGATGGCATTGAGATATACTAGGTACTTCAGTGACATGCACCAGAGAGCTCTGGTGACAAAGCACAGATAGCGCAGAGACAAAAACCAAATCAAGAGCTAGCTTCCGAAGCAGACAGACTGAGCAGGCTGCCTGACAGCCATCACTACAGCGTTACATGCATCAGAGCAGTGAGTTTTAAGTGCTTTTTAGTGAGTTATCAGGAAGGAGTAAACGGTTGCAAAATGCATGGTGATATGATCACATAACAGAGACCTCCTCTTTACAAGCCTCTCAGGAATAGAGGTTTGAGGTTCAAAGTTTCCCTGTACTCATTATATAGGGTGAAGTCTGCTCAGCAATGAATGCAAACAGTGCCACAGAACAATGACAACTGCAGGTGCAAAGGAGGAAATGCTAGAGGCGTGATAGCGCTTCAACATTTATTTTCCCCAAAGACACATAAAAAGAATTAAAACAGTTCTAAAAGCCACAAAGCTTTGTAATACTTCACAATACATAAATACTAACTGTGCTTCCTGCTTAGACTAACCAGCAGGGAGGTCTTTTATTCAGGCCTTTATGTCAGTAGGTGCATAAAGCTGTTTCATTTACTTCAGGTACAGAACAAGTGGCAGGAGAAATGTATGGTAGAGTCATTCCAGTTTGGTTCAAGGCCAGGAAATTCTCCTGAGACGGATGCTCTGCTGTTGACTGGAAGCCATGTTCAACAGATACTGCTCACATTGCGTACAGATGTCTGCAGTCAGCCAGTCTGCCATGGTCCCTGCGTAACAGCACAGAGGCTGTGCTAGGCAATGGGGTTCCAAAATAACAGGTACGCTGGAGTGGGAGAGGGAAAAAGAAAAGCAGGAAAGCTGACCCAGGTTTCTGTTAGAGGACATGGTGCTGTTCCACCTTTCCCCCACGCATGATCCAACACTGCTAAGTGATTTAGCTAAAGGCATGAGTTCAACAGAGCAGTCAGCTCCACTTTGGAAGGCTACAAAGCAGCAGAACAGCTTCATTTACTGGCACCTTCTCTCTATGGACAGTATGTCAGCCAAAGGACTAATGGGTATCTGTGGTTGATCCAAGGTTATGGCCACATCCTTATGCTCTAAGGTTTTTTTGTTTTGTTTTGTTTTTTCCCCCCATCCTGAAGTATGACAGTAATGCAGTCACTCAGACCTCTTCTGCAGCACCTGCATTATAAGACAGACCAAACCACTGCCCCACACAGTTAACTTCAGTAGTGAACACTACCCCTGATTTTTGGCAACTGAAGTACAAGCCTTTGAACCAGGAACTGCTGTGACTCTTTCTTGGCTACATTAAAGAATGGTTTCAGAGAGAAAAAAAAAAAAAAAAAAAGATACCTGTTCCCCCAGTAGAATATATAACTTATTTGGAAAGAAGAAAACAGATAATGTATGTTTCCAGTCCTAGATATTGCACTTTTACTGACAAGGTCTGTCTTTTCTACCTGGAACTGTCAAAAGCTCTTTTTGAAACAGTTCCCTTTCTGGGGACAAAAAAGAAAGGGTGTCTGTAGGTAGCGTGGAGGGACTGAGAAACCATTTGTGGCATTACTCTTCAGTCAGTTATATCTGAGACCATTAGCTTATTTTGTTTCTAGGTATAAAGGGGCTACTCCTGAGTTGTTGTGACAGACCCCCAGCTGTGGGGGACAGAATATAATGGGGTCTGGAAGTTCTCATACAAATTAAGCTGCTGCAAGGAACCTTCTACATCTGGACTAATATGGACACTTCTGAACCCATGTCAGAAACCTCATAGCTAAAAAGTAAAATGGATTTCAGAGTACCTACACGTCCTCCCTTTTGGTCATCTAAAATCCACAATACAAAAAAATCCACAGAGAACTGTAGACTAGTTAGACCAGTGGCTGAACCAGTCATTCAGCATAACATTCAGCTGACCAGCATAATACTACATACTTCTCTCTGCATGTTTGTAAACTTGCGTATACAAGTAACTGGTAACATCTTTCAAGGTAAAAACAGAATATCCCCATCCCAGCTTACCCCAAACACTCCCAGTGCTCTATTTCACGCAGCAGCTCTGAGCTCTTCTGCTCTTGAGTACCTGGGTCCTCCTCTCTGGAGAGTCTCAAAAGTTTTAGGAAGTGAAACGGGAGATGTACACACATTCTGAAGGGCATGGACATCTACAATCACAACACGAGTCACCTGAGTTCTCGGGCAAACACATCCTCCTTCTTAGCAGGAAAATTTGCATGGCATGCAATTGATTTATTGGTGCACTTAGAAGATAGACATTAATGCAGTGAACTTTCTGACCCTTGTATAAATAGAGTAATCCCAACCACTTTACACAGGATGAAAGACAGAGGAACCAGAGTTGTTTTAGCTAAGTATGACAAGAGATGTCTGTGGCACTCTGGCTGCTTTTGCACCTTGTAATATTCCTTAGAATCATAGAATCCCTCTTCTGTTTTCTTAGAAACAAGCTAGAGGGTAGATCTGAGACATCAGTGGGATGAAGGAAAGTTTTCTATGACTAGGTGAGGTGCAAGGAAAACAGAAAATGTAAAACACCCATATGCTGTTGTAAAGGCTAGACTTGCCTTGATGCAGCAGTCACAGCAGACAACACTAAGAGAAAAAAGTTCCCAGCATTATCATTTGAGTAAAGCTCAGCAGATACCAGTATTGCAGCTAAGGGTGACTTTCCCAAGTAAGTCTTAATTTGCGATTGTGGCACAATTACTTGACAGCAAAGTGAGCAAGCTTAGAACTCCCCTATTCAGTTTGCCAGCCCTTCTATATTTATACTACTTTAAACCATCTGAAATGTGTCAGCATCCATAGCTTGAAGGGTTTATCTGCAAACACCCATTACTCTTCACCCAGCACTACCACCACACAGTTAGTCCATTCCCAGTGGTTGTTTACTTGTTGCTTGTAATCAATTCAGTGCTTCACCACTGCTTCAAATAGATTTAAACGAGCCTCAATGAGCCTAAAGTTCCTATTTTCCTCTCCCATGAACAGAAAACCTCTGACAAATAAGTGGATACAAGTAGGTCCAACTCCTTTCCCAGTCACACAGTCTGGAGTTCACTTTTTCAGTCCTCAACAGAAGATTCTGGTGAAGAGCCTCTCCCAGAACCTGCTCAAGCCTTTGACTAAAGTTAAATCCAACCTTTAGAGCAAAATGCAGAGAGCAATCTCTGAGAGAAACTGAATCTAATACTTGCACAGTAAATTTGGTTACTGCTAGCTTAATACTAAGAGTTAAAATTGAGATACCACTTCAGAGGCAAGTCTCCACATCCTCTGCAGCTGTAGACACTTCAGCCTGGCTTGTGCAGTAAGGCAAAAATGAAGGGCTCAGCAACCTGTTCCTACCCAGTACTACAACTGTTTGAATACTGAGTATTTTCAGCACTGTTCTTTCACTCTTTTCTCCCTCCTCATTCAGTCCTTTTGTACCAGCTCACCTGCTGCAGAGGTAACAGCTGTAAGGCCACTTAAGAAGCATCTGCTTATGGCAGCTGAAACAGATCTGTGGAAAGGAAAGTTACTTGTGAATGCAAATGGGAAATATCTTCGTACCAACAGTATCCACTGCCTGCCAAAGAGCAAGCACATAAACCAACCTTCTAAAGGCTTTAGATCCACATAAAATAACAGAGGTCCAATAAAGGATAGCAAAGACACAGGAATTAAAAGCTAAAAAGGCAAAACCAAGTCTTATTTGTAGGCCAGTGTTTTTATGGTGCAGAGGTTTGGGGCAGCTGCCAGACAACAGGAGTTTAAAAAAGGCTCTTGAGCAAACAATAGCTGTATTGTGCAAGAGTGTAACAGTAGCTAGTTAAGAGAGAGGGAAGAAGAGAGACATTCTTTGAGGTAGACTGCAGCAATCCCAAAGAGATTAAGTCAGGGCAAATTTGAATCCAATCCTGAAGCAAAAAATGAGTCATAAGGAAGCTGATGAGTCACTTGAACTTTATAAAAAAGAACATATTCATACACAGCTGGCAGTGAGAAGTGATATTATCTTGAGAAGCAGAGCTTGAGAAAGCTAAAAAAACTTCAGCAGCAAGAACACAAAGGGGGTAAGAGAGCCATTTTAGAATAGGCAGAGAGCAGGCAAGTTAAAGCAGGGTTGGTAAGTAAGGTGAGAAGAAAACGAGTCTCAGGAGCATCAGACAGACTGTGGAAGTAGCATAGCTCTGCTAGTAGAACCCTTTGGCTCTGTCTATACTGCCAAATAAGCGAGGGCAAGAAGCTGACCCCTAAGCCAAGTAGCACAGAATTCCTCAGATCTGTGTTGCAAACGGCTTGTACTCACAGCATCTGCTCTACAGGGGCTGGTTGCAATGCTCCCTCTGAAGGAGACTCAAGTGAATAAGCCAGCAGTTAAGCAGAGTAGTCCTGTGCTGCAGGTCATTCCCCCTGCCCCCTTCATCTCCCTGACCTTTGCATCCACTCAGCAAGGTGGTTTGAGTCAGCACAACTCAGGTGTGGGAGCCTGAGTTAAGAGCTTTTGTGTCACTGTTTAGCAGTACCAAATCCCATTTAATTACTTTGTGATTTCAGAACTGGTGAACAGTCATGGCAGTCTGCTCTCCTAGTGTGGAAATAACAGACAAGAAGTATCAAGCAAAGGCTGGATTACTTTCTAGGCACCTTACACAGCTTAAGCTTGATTAGAAGCCATCACCACACAAGTATTAAAAGATTTTTACAGCCTAGGGCTGAACTCAGATCAGCTGTAGAACAGGATAAGTTGAGGCAGAGAGCACCTCAGCAGTTCAGCACTGAGAGCCATTAAGCCAGCCAGCTTTTGAAAAGGCAAGGACAGCACAAAGAGAAGGAGAGGAAACACACCTTTGCTCTTGGAAAGACACCATCACTGCCTCCTTGGAGGAAGCCTTGCCCTTCCAGCATCATCATTGCATATCTGGTTCCAATCAGCTCAGCAATGGTTGGTGATGGCCACTTGGTAGGAAAGGAACAGTCCTATTGAAAACAGAAGTTAAGCATCAGAGAAAGCTGAAGGAAGCAGATATGTGGGAAGGTCATCCTCAAAACTGGGTCCCAAGAGGTTCAGGAGCATCTGTCCTGAAAACTCAGTATCAGCTGACTCTGACAATACTAGCAGAGAAACTACTACGGGGTTTTAGTGGTTGCTCTAGTTTTCAAGCAGCTTCCTGACACCTCATTAGGGAAGCAGGTCCCTCAGTCACCACAGTAGTTAATACCATCTCCAGAGCCAGTCTCTGGGGAATTCTACCCTTTGGTTCAGACCACACCACAGATGGCCCCTGGCCCCTTCTAGGCACAGGATCCCTTTCCACAGCTCAATGCTCTCTTGCCTTCTCTTTGCCAAGACTCACTGGCCCCACACAAACAGCAGCTATGGTCTGGTGATCAACCAGGAGAGACAACAGTGCTTTTATCCCAGGTGGGGAGTCCAACCCACCTGCATCCCCCACCACGCTGCTGAACATAGAGGTCACACAGAGTTATGGTCAGAGACTTGCCGGGATGGGGCAGGGAGGGATGCAGAAGAAAAGGAGGAGGCAAGGGCACAGCACACCTTGTCAGGGCAGAACAGGGCAAGGCCTTGATTCAGAAGGTTGCACAGAAGCGCACAAAACCCAGCACTGCTCCCACAACAGTCATTCAGAACTTGATGACTTCAGTACCACATACATTTAAAAGTCACTGATGCTGTGTTATCTACATTTTGTCAACCACTTGTTCCCTTTACCACAGCTTAAAGGATGTTTATGAACGTATCAGAATCTAGAAGGAATGAGGGAAGATGGAGATGAAGAAAGCAGGACAGTCCCATTGCCAACTACAGTCTGCTTGAAGAAGCCTTGACAGACACTTTCAAGTAATGCAGCAGTATTTTTCTCTTCTTGTATGAGGCACAATTTTATTTCTTTATTTATCATTTAAACTGGGAAGCCTCCACAAGGACACTACGGCATCCAGTCTTCTCTTAAGCTGTCTCCAAGGAGAGTATAATATCCCAGCTTAAGATCAGTATACAATATGGCCTAAGATAAAAACCACAGAACATGCTTACTGCTTGCACGAGGATCAAGGTGCAAGCTCTGGTCATTACCAAATGTATCAGACCATGCTTGCTAGCTGACATGCCGGACTTACTTTGCTATCCTTGCTTTGAAGGCCCCTCTCTAGAGATCTGGACCTTTCTCTGTAAGGAGGCAGCTGCTGTTGGCCAACATTCAGGAAACCATTAGGTTTAATGCCTCTTAGTGTGGGTGCACTCATGGGAGGATAGGTGCAATTTGCAGCGAGACCTGGATAGGAAGAGAGAGTTTTAGGGTGCAGAAAACCAACTGGCAACTTCTAAGTATTCACCTCAAAAGCTGAACACTCAACAGCACTACACTGCCTTCTGAAGGTAGCAAGGCTTACACCTCTCCCACTCAATCCTCATCAGCTCAGATCACAAAAAGCAGAGGTTACAGTAATTATGCTTGTCAGTAGGCAGTGATGGGGCTTCATTAGCACCATTTAGTTTAATAAAATCAAGTGGTTCGCTTTCTACTTGAACATTCAAAACACTCATTTAGCTTTTACTGTGAATTCCAGTTAGGCCTTTGGGGACATGCTATCATTGTTTTGAAGCTGCAGGAGCTACACAAGCACTGAAGGCAAGTGCAGAGGAATGGTGTTCTAAGGGCACCTCCCCAGACTCATTACTCAGTGTTGGAGCTTCTCCTGTAAAGTGTCTTCAGGTGATCAGAGAGAAAGTGTACAGTGAGACCAACCTAAGACTTTGGGAACCCAGCAGGCCACTGACTGTACTTTGTCACCTGGTTTAGATGTGCAGCTAGAAGTAGACTGACCTGTGCTCTTGCAGGATACTACTGATGACCTGGTTGAGGCAAGCCAGGTGCTGGAAGGCAGCTTGGGAGTGACTTCCTGTAGACCAGAGGACAGGATGTTCTTAAGCTGCATACAAGAGACACCAAGCCCACTTCCTCAGAGGTGCTGCTGCTGAACAAAACTCAGGACTGACCAGAAATGTTCAAGGCTCAGCCAAAAGTGGAGTGGAGAGAGAAATCAATGTGGTACATTTAGCAACTTTATATTCCAAGAAGTGATAGCAAGTTAATTGCCCCTGCAACCAGGAGGCTCCAGCCAAGCTAGTGAAAACTCAAATTCATCTGTTCTCTCTCTCTCTCTCTCACAAGTTCAATGCAGATACTAGTCCCAAAGTTTCATCTGTTCAGGAACCAACTTCACAAAATCCTCCCTGTACAACTCTCAGAGTACCTTGGAATCATTTTCTCGGCTCCAGCTCACATATAGCAACACTGGAGATCAGTTCAAGAGACTGTGCATCACTAACCCAACTCAAACCCAATGCTCTATCTCAACAGCACTGTTTCTAGCTTCTCTAGAAAAGCAGAAAACATATTTGATTATATTAGTCTCCATATGAAGGTCCTTCTAGTTTAGCAGTAATACATCAATCACAGGGTTCTCAAATGCTGAGCATTCCTACAAGTAGCACAGACCTGTACAAATATAGCTAAGATTTTCTGCTTTTATTAATTCATATCCGTTTTCCTCAGTTAAGCAACTGCATTTCAGACAGAAATGTTTACAGAAAACAGATTCCTGTTTGTATGCCAGTGCATCTGTGCTAGACTCGATGCGTTAGGGCTTAAGTTCTGTTCCACAGAATTTCTGAATATGTTCAGACTGAATCCCAGAATCAAGCAGTCAAGCTTTTCATGATCAAGCCAGGAGTTAAAGAACCTGAAGACTATGTATCATGGTTTATTGAAGAATGGTGCTCCCAGGATTTCTCCACAGGCAAAAGAGTGGGAATTCACCAGTGAAGTTGCTTCCTGAAAATAAATCATTAAGTTTTCCTTCCACAAGCTCACATACCACATGAAATGCAAATACATCAATACATCTAGCATCAAATGCCTCACTGTGAGCTAAGAGTGGGAATGGTTCTGGCCCATATTGGCCAAACTCCTATGCATATTAAAACTTGTGCAGGATCTAGTTTTAAGAGACCAGAGCAGACCTTGGTTCTATAGACTGCAGTCATGCCACAAAGAAGTATTTAAATATGGTATGAGCTTCTGTAGAGGGAAGGACTTCAATGAGCCTAACAGTACCACATCCGTTCACTTCTGAGAGACAAGACTGCCCACACTAGAATTTGAACCTGATGTTCCAGGCTATGTGTGTGTGCAGACGTAACGCCTGAAGTACTAGTACCTCTCCAGAGTCCTTTAATTTAAAGCCTTACCTGAACTCCTGGTCCCAGCTGCTGTGTTGTAGTGTTGACAATTTTAAACTCTATACTGGCATCTTGGTGAGTTAAGAAACTATCACTTGGAGATTTCAAGGCAATATTTGGTGTCACCAGCATTTCTGCAGGGGAGAGGGGGAACAAAAACCCTGCACACACATACAAGATAAGACACTGTGCTGTGACAAGAAAATGACAAATTTGATACCCACTGTCATGGTTTAACCCCAGTTGGCAACTAAACACCACACAGCCGCTCGCTCACCCTCCCCCTGTGCTGGGACTGGGGACAGAATTGGGAAAATAAAGAAAGTAAAATCTGTGCGTTGAGGTAAAGGCAGTTTAATAGGACAGCAGAGAGAGTAATAATAAAAGAGAAAGTAATAATAATAATAATGATAAAAGAATATACAAAAAAAGTGATGAACAATGCAATTGCTCACCACTCGCTGACCCAGCCAGTCCCTGAGCAGCAAAAGCTGCCCCTCAGCCAACTCCCACCAATTTCTATACTGAGCATGACATCATATGGTATGGAATAGCCCTTTGGTCAGTTTGGGTCAGCTGTCCTGGCTGTGCCCCCTCCCAGCTTCTTGTGCACCTGGCAGAGCATGGGAAGCTAAAAAGTCCTTAACTAGTATAAACACGACTTAGCAACAACTAAAACATCAGGGTGTTATCAGCATTATTCTCATACTAAATCCAAAACACAGTACTATACCAGCTACTAGGAAGAAAATTAACTCTATCCCAGCTGAAACCAGGACACCCACACATCAGAATTTGAGATTTGGCTAGACTTTATCCTGGTAGTTACACAACCTTTTAGTTTTAGGTGATGGTCAAAATCCTGTTCACTTAGCGGACAGACAAATTTGAACATCTATTAAAAAAATAAAGGGTAAGTTGAAACATCTTTTGAGTCTTAATGAGCCACAAACATTTTCTAGAAAGAACTATTCTTGTGCCACACCACCTCTATCACACAAAATCTGCATTCCCACCTCCCTTGCATTATACATGCTATGGAAAAGATAAGGGGGGGTGCATTTCAAAGGCCATGCATTATTTTTAGTCAACACTGACTTCACTTGCGTGCTTGATAGGTCACTTTGTAGCAGGTACCTTTGGGCCTGCTCCCATTTTTCCTTGCTGCTGCTGATCGAAGCTTCTGTGGTTGTTTTATTTCTGCCATGAGCTGTTCATGCCAGCTGGACTCCCACGGCCAACAC